CACACACACACACACACACACACACACACACACACACGAGAAAAGCAGTACTGATTTCCAAGGATTTCTTTCTTGCTTTAACTTTTATCTAGAGAAACTCAGCATGAACTTAATGCTTTCAGGATTCTCTTGCCCCAAATGCTCATAATTCTCATTAATACAAACAGACCTACCTAAAGCAACGAATCTCTGAAAGACACCTTCATCTACACAGTAAGCAAACAAGCAACTATTTCATTTTTCATTGTTAGTGAAATAGTGACTCCTAGTAATATCTAATGAAAAGTCTAAAGAATCGGGGTTTTGTTTTGAGAGGAGAGTCACTTAGAAATAAAAAGTGTACTGAACCAAGTTTCTAATATCCTGATATGAAAATGAAAAGTATGTTCCACACACTATACTCACAGATATGAAGGGTGAATGGTAGAACCAATCACCTAAGTCAGTCTCTTATCTTACACTAATTAAAAGCTCCTTGACTCTCAACACCAACATTGTAACAAGGAAAGAAACGAGTATTAGCGAGCTTTAGCAGGCACTTTAGAACTTAACCAGAGCCTAATGGAAAAAAGTCTGCTTAATGCATTTAAATAAATGTTTTCCTCCCCTTGTATCTTTAATCCCCTGAGAAAACAAAGTTTCTATTCTGTTTCTAGCACTTTTCCATTACTATTGGTATTAGAGCTCATAACCATCAGTGTTACACGAAAAATTTTACAAATTATTTGTAAAATGCAACTCAAAAGTTCAAATGCTAAATCTGATTACCCTATGCTTTCCTGAGAACACGGATTATAGTGGTGCAAAAGGATGTGTCATAGGTCATCAAAATAATTATGAATGGGGAGAAAAATCAGTATAAAAAGCTGATACAACCAGTACTCAATATTTTCCTCAAAAAATGACATCTTTAAATATCTCCATGGTGATCAGCTGGTTTTTTAAAAAGGCATCTTTTCCCTGTAATTTTGCTAAACAGCTAAAATGCAACATATGCCAATGAATAAGGAATGACTCAAAAATTAGCATGTTAGAAAATAGTACAGATTTCTTGAAAAAAATCAACATGTCTAGATCAGCGTTTCTCTTAATAATTATTTCCCATTCATAACTCATTAAGTCAACAAATATTACTAACTGCCTTAAGCCGTAACATCATTCACTTTGAGCAAAACTTGGAAATTTATTTAAAACAGCTTAATATGGTGATTGTTATATATGATATGATCCAAAAGATAACACTTCCTTGCTCAAAAAAGGATACCACCACACAGCACACAGCAAATGAAGTCATCACTCATAAGACTAGCCAACACAAAGAAGTGGGACACAGTTTAAAGTTAAAACAAAGATAGAAACGAATTAACTCTCCTCAGCATGGCTCAGCTTTCTGTTTATGTGTTTATCTACTCTGATAAAAGCTGCCCTTTAAGGTTAAAGTCTACTATAACTAATGTCCTCTGATAAAAACATCCAAAATGAAATCTGGAACAATGACCCACTTAAGCAGATGCATAATGATGAGATTCTAGTAATAATAAATTATTAGGATATGTTGCTAAACTCAAGTATAGAGACCTCAAAAACCACAAAAAAGAAATATTTTTAGCCTTGATTCAGTATACTTTTAACTTCAAGGAATCACTTTTCTCTCAGAGTCTCATCATAATCTACCTTAACATTTTTTTTAAGACAACAATCATGAGAGAGGGAATAGTTTTGTTTTTAAGAATAAAAACCAATGGTAGCAATAAAATTCCAAATCTGAGGACACAATAAAAATACACAGCAATGAAACTGAAACAATCTTGCTTTTTAAAACAGCAAACTAACAGTACCTGTAAAAGAGACAATCAATCATACTCACTGGAGACTTGACAGCAGCCATGAACTAAGATTTCCCACCACCAACTTTAAATCCCTGTCATTCATTACCACAAAACTACTAAACAAGGCTTAAACCTGTAACCAGAATGTTTTTCCCTAGCTCTTTTTCTACCAAAATAAACCAATATGGATTCAACTGTCCATTCTCCTAGAAAGATTAGAAAAACTTGTATGTTTGGCTTTGAAATTCTAGGGATGTTTTTGAGCAAATGTCTTTCTGGAATGTTATACTTAAGCTAATACCAAATGAAGACAAATCCTTACCCAAAAATCAGTCTTTCCCAAATTACTTTGCAAAACAGTATCAAGTACTACTGCTATAAAATAAGCAAAAATTCAAAATGTGGAATCCAATTTAGATGGGTATATGTTTATTTCTATCCATCAGCTAAACTTAAGATGGTAATCCATATACGTGCTAAATGGTATGAGACAGAAGAGAAGGTGAAATTGAACGATGTACTCCAAAGCCTGACGAGACTCTAGACTCACTCTTTAGAAATGTCAAAATCATCCAAAGGGAGCAAGGAGGTTCCCTGGGAAACAAACTGCCACAGCCCAGAAGAGCAAAAGATGAGAGGGCAACTAAATAGCACGTGGTGACCCAGACAGGATTCTAAAACCACAGAGAAGAACTAGGCAAAAATAGAAGACATCCAAGTGAAGTAAGTATTTTAATATCATAACAATATTGATTTATGAATTGTGAAAAATCCATTATTCTGATGTAGATATTAAGGAATAAAGAAAGTTAACTGAGAGATGCATAGGCACTCTACACTATCCTGCCAACTTTTGTAAATCTAAAACTACCCAAAATAAAATTCTTAAAAACAGTTGTAGATGAGACAAAGTAGATAAAGAGGCCACTCTGTGGTTTGTTATTAAACATGTTAGTGAAAAACCCGAGAATTCTAACCTTTACAAAAATGAATGCCTTCCTCTACTCCCACCCCCAATAAGGAGAACAATATTACCATAATCACAGGCATTTCTGTAACAAGAAGTAGTAGGTGTTGACCAAACAGGACACTGCCTGAGAAGAGCAGGCTAAGCCAAATTAACTAGCTGCTTAGTTACCACCTGCGTCCTTCCTGGTCCTCTCTCCTCACTGCTACACCTCCACTGGCAGCTCAGGACTGCCTCCTGCAGCTGATGCCAACCCTACTGTCCAGCTGCTCTCTTCTCAAGGGAGCTTAAGAGAAGGGGACCGAGTGCCACAGATGGGAAGAAATGAAAAGGGGGTTAGCTAGAGCACAGAGGCGCACTAATTACCCCAAAAGGGAGGCAGACGGTGTCCCTGGAGCAAAGAAAGGGCAAGACAAATATACTCCATCTGAAAAGACCTTATTATTCCTTAAGATATGCCTGACTTAAGTAACATTCTAAAGTAATGACAGGTTAAAAAGAAGCTAAAACATTAAATAAACACCATTGACTTTGTAAACCAAGAGTTCAGGGCTAGCTTACTCTTTGGATCACTTGCACTTTGATAAAAATGTTTCATTATTCAATAGCATTCAGCAAAAACTGACAGCAATGAAAATTTGATATCCAAAAATGCCTTCATCATATTCAAAGATCAGTATCTGTATTAGAGTGCAGGTATCATCATTTTAAAATCATGCTAAAATAGAAGCTGAGAGGAAAACTTTAAACTCTAACCAAGCTTCGCTTTGAGAAAACACTTCTGATAACCTAAAATCCAGAAGAAAAAAATAGCTGCAGTGTTTTAACAACATGCACTAAAACAGCTCACATTCTACATTAACAGGCTTTTAATTTTCAAAACATTACTCTCACTATGGTAGAACTAAATACTATGTATCTAAACTTATCTTTGACTCCACAAACTATTTCATGGAAAGGTTTGTTCAAGGCTGTGCAGGGAAGTACACACCTGTACTACCAGCACTGGGAGGGCTGCTCTGAATTCAAGGCAACACAGCAAGACTCAGTCTCAAATAAAAAAGTGTCTTCAGATGGTGTGCCAACTTTATCAAGAAGACCAAACCCCATAAGTAGACGTACAATATTTGTATAATTGTTTTGTGGTGCTGAGGTTCAAAGGACCTTACTCATGCTAGCCAACACTCTGAACATTATAGTTTTAACACTGATTGTGTTCGCTTCAAAATTTCAATTTAACAACAGTCTCTAGGCAGTCAATCAACATTTTAACAATGATCCAGCGGTATAGGTCAACAGTAGAGCAATTGCCTAACATATACACATGGCCCTGGATTCAATACTCATCATTTAAAAAAAAAATAAAACTAACAACCTACAAACATTTTAATGAGTTGACTTCATGAATCATTTCAAAGTTTAAAACAACTCTCATCTAGGTCAATGAAAGAAAAGAGGAAGCTGGTGTGCTAAGCTTTTAGCACAAGCAAAGAGCATCACCTGGCTAAATGGCACTACGGGTATTCTGATACACATATAGACACCATACATATGCACTCACAGATATACATTCATCTTTTCACCATCTACAACTATATTAAGCCAAGTATAGCATGCTCCCAGCATTGAGAAGTAGAGGCAGGAGGATCAGGAATTCAAGGCCCTAATGGACTATGTATAACACTATCTCAAAACAAACAAAATAACAAATACAGGATAATACTTAGAACTAAGGACTAGGTTCTTCACTAAGCATCTTGGGAAAGCTAGAATGCTCTATCATAAAACTGCACACTCAATAATGAATAAAGCCACCACTAAAAACAAGTAATTAAAAAAATAGAACACATTTTTACATATATGTTGACCTCAGAAAGTATTAGTTCAAAATGGAGCTATCTATCTGGAGCCTGGTCTGATGGTACCTGTACACACCTGTAATTCCAGCAGCAAACAGGAGTAGAGCGCAAGGCCTGTCTTGACCATAGTAAATTCAAGACCATTCAGGGCTACATGACACCTGGATTATATTTCGTGCAAAATAAAACAGATCCTACAGTTCAAAGCCAGAACCCATAGAGTATTAACTTTCATACAAGAAAGCTTGTTTTCAAATGGCCTCAGGAGCAGCAGAGATGACTCAAGGGTTGCTAAAAGCACAGCCAGTCTGAGTTCCATTTCCAGCACCCACTTAGAAGACCATGTGTGACAGTGCATGTGTAACCCCAGCACTCCTACAACAAGATGGGAAGCCAAGACCACAGAACTGGCCAGAGACCAGAGGGCCAGCTAGCTTGAAATAAGCTTCAGAATAGCAGAAACAAGCAGAAAACCCCTGGCTCAACAAGGTGGAAGGAGACAAAGGACTCCCAAAAGTTGTCCTCTGACCTCTGCACACACTGTCCACACATCTACCATACCCACATGCTCTCCTCACACACAAAATTTTGAAGAGCTTTAAAAAAAAGTTTAACTGTCAAAAATCTTATCAAACTAGAACTTGGTCCCCCCCCAAGTATGTCACTCAAAGCTTTGCTTACACCAAGTTTAAAGTAAACACCACTTTGGTAATTTCATGAAGATCTACAGTTTCTTTCTAAAGTACAGTTGGCCCTAAAAGTCAAGAAATAAGAAGTAATATTGATGTGCTCATAATAAACTATTTCTGTGCAACCTTTCAGATTAATGACCTTTGACCTACAAAAGTTAAATAAGGTAGTACTTGTCTCTTAATATAATCTTTGATGAAGCAGTATCTAAGAGCCACTTTCCCCCTAAAAAACAAAAACAAACAAAAAAACAGAATATGCTTCCCTGGGTTAATAAATAATCATAGATAATATAAAAATAACAATATACTTTTGAAAACTATGCCAGATAAAGTTACATTTCTAGAACCGCCCACAGTGTCTCACAAAAGAGAGCAGAGCAGAACAGACTCAAAGGTAAGTTACACTTGGCTTCAAAAGTATTACATAACTGTGAGAATGTTTCCAGCTTCCATTTTCCTTAGGTTAATGAAAATGCCTTCCCTGGGTACAAACTGCCGGTGAGAAATTAGGGAAGAAGCTGGGTGGTGGAGGAAGAAAGTTATTCAAAGCCTAAGACTCCCAAATAGACATGGACAATTTATGGAAAATAAAACAAACACAGTGAAATAAAACATTGAAACTGTTCTTAGGGCGTCACAATAACAAGGCTGTGTACACTAGCATATACACACTAACAAACACCATAATTAATAACACCAACAACATTTTTGGGAAAAGTGTACAATGTTGCTAAGTCACAATTAAAAATAATAAATTGTTTTCACCTGATAAGTCATGGTGAATAAGGTCAGCAAAATTGGGATCTTTACCCCACCAAAATATCCACAATTCTCTTCTTCCAGGTCTTTGATCTCGCCGCCAAACACCAAGTACATCTGCCTTAAGGCATCGACTAAAACTGCTCAAAATGGGGTCTTCTTCTGTCACCGGAAACAGAATGGGGGCAGAAGTTGGGCCTTGCCATACATATCTTTTCCACTTAATTCCTGTCAAGTCGGCCTGAAGGAAAGAAAACATGATTTCTGTATTATTGTACATTCACTCAAAAAAAATTCACTATAAAGTTCATTAAAACATCACTATTTTGCCGGGCGGTGGTGGCGCACGCCTTTAATCCCAGCACTCGGGAGGCAGAGCCAGGTGGATCTCTGTGAGTTCCAGGCCAGTCTGGACTACC